GAGGGTAAAGCAGAGGGCCGACGCCAGGCACTGAGACAGGACCCATCACAATAGTGATGGGCTGCCTACACCTGCAGGCAGGTAGGAATGAGATGACAAGACCCAAGAGATGACTTGGTCTTGGAGAAAAGGCGCTCAAAATTGTGATCAAAAGCCCAGATAGGTGGCTGGGGCTCAGTGGTAAAGCACTTGCCTTGCACGTGTAGGCAATGGGTTCGATCCTCAGCACCTCATATAAATAAATAAATAAAATAAAGGCATGCTGTCCATCTACATAAAAAAAAAAAAAAAAAGTCCAGATAGGGAGGGGGGAAAAAAAGGCCAGGGGAAAGGCCTCACGTGGTTAATTTACTCTCCTCTCTGAGATATATATTTCCAAGTCAATTTCCAAATAATTTCTTTCTTTTGAGGTGCTTGGGATCAAACCCACCTGTCTCATGTTCGAGACAGGTGGTCTACTACTAAGCTACAGCCCCAGCCCTCGGAAAAAATATTTCTAACTTGAGAAGTTAAATGTAAAAATGTGTTTCTCTCTTGGCCTTTCTCCTCTTTCTCCTCCTCCTCCAGTTTTCTCTTGCTCTCCTTGCCTTTGCTACTTTTTCTTTTTAAAAACTGGAAAATCAAGTGCATGTGTGCGGGTGGGTGACCTGTGGAGTAAGAGTGGAAAGAAGACATTATGCTCTGCTAAGGACAACCCAGCTCAGGGCTCCGCCTGCCTGTGAACCCAAGGAGGAAGCTCCTTCCACCAGCAGGGCCCTGTGGGGGTTGGTGCTGGYAGCTAAAGCTGACCCCTGTGGTGCAGGGGAGGACTTGCACATTACCTATCTAGCCAAGAGACTTCCTAAGGATTATGAAGCAGCAGCAGCAGCAAATATGATTCTTAGCCATCACCAGAAAGTCCTGAAGGTCGGAAGAGACCTTCACAGTTTCCTCTACCTGGATTCCTTCCCTCTAGACCCACAGGTTCATCTGGGCTGGCAGGCTTTGTAGTGAACTTGGTAGTGAACTTGGCTGGCTGGCAGACCGGTGAGTTATTCCATAGCATAATCATCACAGATTTTAAGCCAGTTTTGTTTTTGTTTTTTTTTTTTGCAAAAAAATTTGGGGTGCTACCATTATGTAAAGCATTATTAAGATTATGTTGATATTACTTAGCAATCACTGTTCAGTAATCTGAACAGTCTTTGGTGCAAGACCAGGATGCATGGAATACTAGGAATATATGTTAAGGCAGTGGCAACAGGTAGAATCGGAAGAGGTATTTTTGTTGTCCACAGTGAAGACACCATTCCAGAGTTTGCGCCATCAGCTCTAGCAAGGGAGACCCTGATACCTTTAGAAAAGGCCATGAGACTGTGGTATGAGGTCCAGAGCTTGGAAAAAGAAGGAAGTGCTTGCTGATGGCTTTTGCATAAAACTTTGTGGTGTGCAGACAACAGAGGAGAAAAAGTAAAAGCAGAAAGGGGAAGGAGCACTGTGGTCATGTAATGAGAGGAGGACAGGGTGCTGGGATCACAGCCTCCAGACAGCAGGACCACTGGCATCCAGCTTGGGGTTGGAGCAGGCAGGGCCCTGCCAGGGCTCTGAGGCTTCTAAGGGCTTCATGTGCACGTGACTGATGCTGCTCGTGGGAGGATCCCGTCCTGATCCTTCTGTTAAAGAGCAGAGAACTGGGAGTACTTTACAAAGCTTGTGTTTACAAATTTGGAGGCTGATGATCTTAAATGTCTCAATTCTACCGGGCCCCAAATGTCCCTTTTCTTGAAGATATTCTTTCAAGTTTTAAAGAGTCAATCCCTGGGGACAGGGAGGTTAGGTCTCAAGATGCATTCTCAGGCAGGGATTTCTAAAACAGAACCAAGTTCCTGTTAATGTTGGTTTGAGTATTACCTAATCATTTGCCCGTTGGTCGTCAGTGGAGTGCAAACTTCACTGGAGCATGTGTGGGAGGGAGGGGGAGGGAGGGGAGGGGGCGGGTGGAACAACATGACTGGAGGCCAAAGACAATACAAAAGGATTTTGAAATGCGGAAAGGAAGTCTATCATCTTAACTGGAGTTGCTCATACACTTCAGGGGGGAAAAAACCCTAATATGCATTAAATGAGAGAAACCCAGAAGGCAGGGTGCAGGAAAGCAATTCCAGAGGGGACTGCAAAAATAGAAGTATTACGTTATAAAACAGGGGACTGTCTGTTCCAGTCACAGACCCGGGTGAAGTGGCAGCTGTACACTATTTAGTTTGGGGCACCTCATTAATAATAAGGGAATTCTGAGCAGAGTGAAAGACAGAACTGAGGGGTGAAAGGGACCAGCTTTTAATGGAAGATTAAAACAATGACGTATGTGGAGCTGACCAAAAAAAAAAAGAAAGAAAGAAAGAAAAAGAAAAAACCCCACAAATTCTGAATGAAATGGGTCTTCACACGCTGGTAGGAGGAACACGAATCCAGTGAAATGACTCATCAGCAGAATAATGGGGAGAAGCAGAGCCAAACAGAGACCAAATTACCCTGGTGAGGAGCAAGGTCCCCCGCAGCCAGGTGGCACCACTAATGTCTGTGGGTCCCATTGCCACTGTGGCCCCAAGGGCCTCACGACCGAGGGAGGGGACCAGCGATGGAGCAGAAGAGGTGGAATGTAAACTTGAACCAGAAAAGCCACTTGAGAACACATGGGAAAGGACAGTCTCAGTGACAGAGATGACCGTGGTCCCGATAGCTCTTTCCTGAAGATAATGTGCCTTTTACAGTGACACAACCCTCAGCTCCCAGAGAAGGAGGAAATCCCTCCACTGGGGCACCGCCTGTCACTGGGAACAGGGGTGTCATTTCCCTGGGGCAGGCACAGCCCAGGAGCCCAGGAGGACGCCCATAGGACGTGGGCAGGGAGCTCTGGAGGGGCTTGGAGGGGACGCCACCAGGAGGAAATGGGGCTAACACAGAAACCGACAGCACACGGCGCTCGGAGATTAGGAACCAGCTAATATGGCAGAGTAAGGGGAGCCATGAATTAATCATAGGTACCTAGAAAGCCAGGGAAAACAAAAAGTTGTACAAGAAGGTAAATGAAATTATAAGACTCTACATGGCTCAGCTGTGATGAATATTTATAGAGTTATAATAATGAAAACACTGAATATTAATATAACCCCAAATTATTATTTCTTCATAACAGAAGACGGAGGGAGGGGAAGATGTAGTGTGCAGGGGGCTGGTGAGAATGGGGAGGCCCCGGTGGTGGGGGGAGGCACAGGCCGGGTGGGGCACAGTGTCTGTTGGGGTGTGTGTATGCACGGAGAGTGTGTCAGCAGGTCTGTGGGGTGTGTAAGTATGGGGTGCAGTGTCCGTGTATTTGTTGGGTGCACTGGTGGAATGTGGAGGGTGTGGGGCCCTGTTTCTGGGGTGGTGAGTGTGTTTCAGATGAGGCTGGTGAGTGGGTGTGGTGTCTTGTGTGTTTGAGAACTGGTGTGGGGGGTGCTGGGGTGCAGGGGTCCCGTGTGGGGTCTGTGAGCTTGAAGATGAGCATGTGTGTCCTGGGTAGGAGTGGGAGGGTTTACAGAACAGCACACTAGTGAAACTGTCATTGTTCAGCCTAGAAAGCCAAAAGATAATATTCAAAATCTTAAAAGAATCAAGACACGATGGTAGCAGCACGTTGGCCACTGTGGAAATAAGTGGCGAAAGAGTCATCCAACAACTGACAGGCATCCCCTGGGCAACGGAAGGGTCCCGCCATTTTTCATATTTCACATAACTTCAAAGACTATACAAATGCACGATGTGGTAGCATTAAAACTAAAACCCCATGCAGCTTCATGGCCCAGTGGCTGAGAAGGTGCTACAGGAGACCGAGGGACAAGGAAGGGCACAGGGTGGCAGCAGCCAGGCACCTGGGAGGCCGTTTGAGGGCACTTGGCAACCTCTGGTCAAAGCTTCAAGAGGCTGAGGACTGAGGACCAGGGCCTGATGCCCAGTGACACTTACGTAAGGGGCAGGCTGAGGACCGAGAGCCAGGGACTGGCATGGACGACTGTCAAGAGAAGCAGAAGGATGACAAAGAAATGAGTTCTGGAGGGAAAGGAGGTTCCAGAAGGGACCAGGAAACCTTATCCAACAAAGACCAGCAGGCAGCCTCTGGGTTGGGCAAATCGAAGGCCACCGGTGCCCTTCCCAGGGCTGGTTTGGTAAAAGGAAAATACAGAAGATGGTTGGCYGAGGCATGGGCTGGGGACCAGCGATACGGATGGTTCTTCCAAGAATCCTGAAGACTCAGTCGTGGACAGAGTGAGGACTGAGGAGTAAGCGAGGGCTTTTTCTTTGTTGATTTTAGGGCGTCTTCTTCATTGCAAATGGCTCATATGAAGAAAGAGGGAGTCTTCCTACTGGGTGTGCATGAAGCCAGGGAAACAATCTTAGTCACAAAGAGGAAGAAGGAAGAAAGGTGACCACAGATGAGATGGCAGGAGATGCAGAAAGGAGCGTGTCCACCAGAAGGTCTCGACTGGGTGAAGCGGCACACAGCCCAGACCCACGGAACAACAGGGAATCACTCTCAAATACGATCAGGGTTTTTATAACAAGTACAGGTTTTCATCCTCTCTGAAGTTCATTTTTAACAGACTTCAAGGCCACAAACTGCCTACTCCTAATACTGAGCAAGGCATGCAGCTTAGCATTTGCTAGGTCAGTCGGACCAATAACGGAATCCAAAGCACATGCTGGAGGAACCTGGGGACAGGGGCACATGTTCTGGGCCTGCTCTCCAGTAGTGGCTTGTAGCTTCCTTACACCCAAGCATATCCGCAAAGTGAAGTGGTACTAAGTGTTATTAAAAGTAGATAAGTAAATAAATAAAGGCACCATGTGCCTTCCTTCCAGAACATTCAGTCCCCTGAAAGTCCAGCAATGGCATGTCATCCCCCAACAGATGACATGAGACGGTCCTTCAGAGGCCAATGCCCAGGTCCACCTTGGCCTCCTGTGCCCACAAGACGACTCACCTGGGTCAGTGGAGGGGCACCTGCSGATGGTGAAGATCTGCCCCAGGTCCTCGTCCTCCTCCGGAAGGCCCTTCTGCAGCCGCTGCAGCTTGCGCAGGCTCTCGCTGCGCTGGTGCTTCATGGAGCGCACGTGCTGGATGAGGTTGAGCTTGGCCTTGGTGGAGTAGTTGCACAGAACGCAGTGGTAGTAGCAGCTCTCGCCCTCCACACCACTCTCATGCTGCTGCAGGTGCTGCAGAGACAAAGCAGAGGGGCATGTCCTGGGTCAGCTGCTGGAAGCCACCACCACCATGCTCACAGCCAGAGGTGTGCCACTGGGGGACAGGCTGGAACAGCCAAATGGGATGATCCATGATAAGGTTCCTTAAAGGGTCCACTTCTCTAGCACCCTCTGAGGAGTGAGGCGACTCGAATTCCCATGTCCCCAATGCCCACTCACAGATGGCTCTCCAGAGTGCTACTAACACCTCTCATCGACTGGGCCCTCCCAGGGTCACTCAATTTTTTTGTACCTTCTTGTACAACTTTTTGTTTTCCTGGCTTTCCCTGGTGCACCTTTCACTCTCCAAAGACCAGATTGGCAGATAGCACAGTCCACCAGCCAAATCTAACCCACTGCCTCTCCTTCCCTCCTTCCTTCCTTCCTTCCTTCCCCTCTCCCTCTCCCCCCGCCGCCTCTCTCTCTGTACTGGGGACAGAACCCAGGGCCTTGTACATACTAGGCACGTGCTCTCTACCACTGAGTAATATCCCCACCCAGCCCTCCACTGCCTGAGTTTGTATATAAGGTTTTATTGAAACACAACCACATCCACTGATGATATACAACCTGTGGCTGCCTCGGAAGCATCAGAGTGAACGACAACGACAGAGACGGTAAGGCCCGTGGAGCTTAGAGCATCACAATCCGGCTCTTTTCAGGCAAAGCCAGCTACCCTCTGCTTTGGTGACAACTGGAGGCCATCACACGCATATGACACCCTAGGTCTATAAACAGTGCCAAGCTGCTGTCTGGCCTTTCCACAAGACAGACAATGAAGGGTTTGTATTTAAAATAGTCTATTGGGAGGATCCAAAATTAGGATTTCCTCTGGATTAAAGAATGACAGAATATTTTCTCCAGAGTGGTTCCCTATCAATCTCTCATGGTCACCTGGCTCATCACTGGTCAATGTCATTGGTCATGGGGTTTACAGAATGGTCACAATTACATTCTCTGTTGTGTTTAGCAGACACAGTACTGAGTTCAGAGCATGAAGGCCCAAAGACCAGCAGGAAACAGCACACACAGGAATGACTCTGGGGTACAAAGTACAGTTGGCATCATGCAAAGAGTTAGCAGACCCCAGACTTCTGTGCCTAGGACTCTTAAAGATCATCCAAGAATAAAATCCACCATGGTTTTGAGTCTCTGGAGAAAGTCATGAAAGCCGTGGCCCCTTTTCCCTAACAGTCAGGGAACCAGCATGCTCCTGTGAACAAAGGCTGTCTTCTTCCTTGCAAATGGCTCATGTGAAAGGAAGAGGGAGTCTTCCTATTGGGTATGCATGAAGCCAGGGAAACAATCTCAAAATGCATAAGTAACTAACCCAAGTCAACCCAGGTAGTGGGAGAGAAACAACCAGAACCTGGGGTTCACCCCCCCACTCTCCTTCATGCACTCAGCCTTCTTCTGGAGGAGTGAATTTAGATGATAATGCAAGCGTTTAATGTGTGCATTGATACTCTGACCTTCCCTTTTTCTCCTCACCAACTCATCTCCACCCTGTCACCCAGGTCTGGCCAGGTACACGACAAATGCCTTGGAATGGCTTTGCGTTGCTCATCTTCTGACCACAGTGCTTCTGCCCCATGTCCATGCCTTGATAACAGTTTCAGATCCTGCTGGGATCCTTTCCTTGTACCACTTATAATGCAAGACACCGAGAAGCTGCAGTGGTTGAAATGTCCTGTGTTCCACATGAGGCCAAAAATACCAGAATGGCTCTACGAGGGCATCCCATCTAATGACACTGCCCAAGGCCCACATACTCAATGCAATAGTCTATGTCCACTGACAAAGTGTGAAAAACCCAGAAGCACACATGCACCTTGCTAGAGGACGAAATATAAATGCACCAACCAGGTGGCATAGCAAACTCACTAGAGGGGACTTGAGGACCTCAAGCATGGGAGCCCACCCAAACATCCCACAATGAATTCTGCCAAGCTGGAGGTCTGGATGCAAAGGGCTTCATAGGCACTAAGGGAGAATGATCACCCCCACCGCCCAAAACGGGTGACTCAACACACTTAAATGTGGAGCTTGGAACAAAATAAAATCCCTACCCGTAACAGCTGCCCTAGAATAATTTCACACGCTAAAAAATTTACAAATCACAACAAAAAGCTAACTTTCTAAAAATAAATGGGAGCTGATTTTTAAGTGGTTTATCTTCGTCATGCCTCTCCACAGACAGGTCTCCTTGCACAGGACTTTGGAAGGAGGGAAGCACCAAGGCCATGTTTTCTGGTGGCCACTCTCCTGGGGAGAAGGATGGTCTGATGGGGTAGAGGTGAAGGAAAAGGTGAGCCTGCCCACGTTCATTCTCCCCCACTTCTTCACAGGCCCCTCAAAAGGCAAAAGCCCGGGTGGGATAGTCCTGGGAGCAACCACATGACCTGGAACTGGGAGCGGGAAACATGTGCAAGAACCAGGAACTAATGTTGTGGGTCACTGAGACCCCAGGAATTCTGCTTGTTAAAGCTTCAGCTAAAACTGAGTGAATCCAAGCTAACAGGGAGAATGACCACAGTCCAAAGCAATACATTTTCATCAAGGGATTTGAGTAGTATCATGAGCTATGAAATCAGAGCAAGAATCACGAAAGCCTCATCTTCCAAACCCATATTACCTCCCCATGAAACAGGATTTCCTCGCAATAAGGCACTGAATTTTAAACATAAAATTTTAATGTGTATGTGAGGATTCGACTCCAAATGGCTGGGGTTTCCAGTCTCTGAGCCAGAAGACAGGGATATCATGGCCAAAGAGAGCTGGATGGGAACTGAGTTGTCAAATGTCTTTTGTCCTCAAATCCAAGGGCTCCTGCGTGATAAAGCTGTATAAATCTTCAATTGAAATAAACATCGTACTGATAACGCTTGCTTTAAAAAAAAAATGATGAAGGTATTTCGAAACCATTCTATCCTGGAGCTCATGCTGCTCAACGGCAATCTCTTATACTACCACAAATTCCTTTGTCTGTAATTTGAGGATCATTTCAGAAAGGAAATAGCCGTACCCCACAATCATGAAGAAAAGAATAAAAGGAAATGAGGAAACCAGGGCCACAGTCTTTTCACTGATAATGGGCATAGGGAACATTTAGGGTCTTGTCTTAGTAATTGATATAAAAGTTTAATTCAAACTTCCAAACTTGCTTTTTTACTCCAAGTTCATTCTCCAAGATGCTAAAAAAATAAAATAAAATAAAAACTCAGGATCAACTATGTCTGGTTTGCTAAAAGACATCTGCTGATAACAGTCACATCCCACCTCAAACTTCTATTTAGAACCTGGGTCTACTGATGATTCGTGTGATAAGTCCTGTTCTCGTTTCTTGCTACTTCTCAGGCTGTCCAACCCGGAGGAAATGGACCCAGGGCCAGCGGCAAGGCCCTTACCTCTGGGCTCTTCTCCCCACCACCCAGTGATTTTTCAGTCTTGAATGGGTCAATTCCTTGATGCTATGGGCCAGCTCCTCCTCTCTCCTGAGTGGCACTGGCTTCAGAATGCCACCCTCAGAACCTGCATAACATGAACCAGCAGCAGAAGGTAGGGCTCGGGAGGTAGAAGGGAACTCCATGGGGCAAGTCAGCCAGCCAAGGACATGCTTTCCCTGTAGAAGAGCAGAGATGTTTTCATTTGGAGAAGGAGGGAGAATAATTTGTTCCTGACCCAGCTAATTAGAATACCCTCAATTGGGATCACAATGTATTTAATTAAATTCACTGTAATATATGAAGAATTCACCAAGGCACAAATCCCAGCGGTACACTCAATACTGGAGCTGCCTCCTCTCAGAGTTCTTGCTCTCCTCGCCAGCCAGGAAATTTTTCTCCCACGCAAATCCTGGATTCCCCGACGCTCCGCCTCTATCACAGGGCTCTCCCAATGGGGAGCTGGGGGGCCCAGGCTTTGCTTTACTTTATCCTCTTTTCTTTACTCTGTGCTCATGATGCCTCCCTGCCTCCCTCTGTCAGCTCCAGAGTGTGGTTTTCAAAAAATGAAAGAAAACGTTAACTTGGGCTGTGGTTAGCGCGCTGCAGCACGGGATCCCCAGGGACCCACCGACGGCTGGCGATGGAGCCCATTTGCTGGGGTTTGTTTCAGCTCAGTTCTAAGAGTCTGCACCATGTGTGTGTAAATAAACACACATACCCACAATATGCCCAACCCTAAGGGCATTACCTGCAGGAGATTCAGGCAGACAGTGGTGACAAAGAGGTCTTGCCAGTGGGTATGAGAAGGCATCTGTTGGGCTCAAATACTATTGTGAGACTATATCACTGGGATCCTGGAAAGCAACAGGGGGCTCCTGGCTCACTTTTAAAAAAAAAGGAGGGGTGGTGGCCCAGGCATGGTGGTGCATGCCTGTAATCCCAGCAGCTAGGGGGGATGAGGCAGGAGGATCACAAGTTCAAAGCCAGCCTCAGCAACCTGGTGAGACCCTGTCTCAAATTAAAAACTAAAAAGGGCTGTGGATGTGGCTCAGTGGTTAAGTGCCCCTGGGTTTAAACTCCAGTACCAAAAAAAAAGGGGGTGGGTGGGTGAGTGAGGGGCTGGAGATACAGCTCACCAGTAGAGAGAGCACTTGCCTAGTACATTCTCAAGGCCCGAGGTTTGATTCCTCAGTACCATTAAAAAAAACAACAAAAACATTTCCCACACACTACTACTGAGGAAGGGTGACCTCCTGAATAAGAAATGAAGAAAGGAAGGTCAAGAGCTAAACAATGAAGAGCTACAACTGAGGTCCACCACCCACACCTGCTCAGCCTGGGCAGCCTCTGCCAACAGCCTTGAATCCCACTGAAGTTTCCCTGGCTCACTGGCTGGTTTAAAAAGCACCCATGGGGGCTGGGGCTGGGGCTCAGTGGTAGAGCACTTGCATAGCACATATGAGGCACTGGGTTCAGTCCTCCGCACCACATAAAAATAAACAAAATAAAGGTATTACGTCCACCCAC